CCCCCCCCCCTCCCCCATCTTGGGAGGGGGGCCCAAGATAAAATCTTGCACCAGGGCCCTTTGGTTATTAGTTCCGCCACTGCCAAGAAGCCTACAACAGAGCACAGATAGAAGTCACTGGTAACTTGCTATAGACCAGTCAGCACTGACACTGAGTCAGGGTGTCTTTTAAATAGGCCATTTGGTGCCACTGCTTACATTGGGCATGCACCATGAAGCATGCACACAAACAAGTGCACTCCAGCGGGCAAGGACACACCTAGCCACAAGTCTGCATGCAAAACCACAAGCCAAAACAGGTGCCTGAGCCAACTGGCTAACTTGTATTCCCTGGTACATACTTTACCTGCATGGCACACAATATATATTTGCTGGTTTCAGCATGGTTTCAGTAGAGATAGACTTTAATATTGTAAACAGTGTGTTTGATTAGTATATACACAGCCTGGGCAACAAATACAAATTCACCACCTGGATTTAGTTTTGTTATGATCTGGGGTTGCTTCACTTGGTCAGGTCTAGGTTCAGCAATGTAAATGTCCCCAAAAAATGAGGTCAGCTGCCAGGGGCGTAACTAGAAATCACAGGGCCCCATAGCAAAATGTTGTATGGGGCCCTGTGATTTCTAGTTACACCCCTTGAAGAGCCCACATAGCTCACCTGAGGGTGACCCTGCAGAGCCCACCATAGACTCTCTATGGTGGGCTCTGCAGGGTCACCCTCAGGTGGGCTGGTCACACTCCTTACCTGTCCGCCTCTTCTTCCTCTGTCTTCCCTCCTCCGTCGCCGGGCCCGCCTCCTCCTCCGTCGCCGGGCCCGCCTCCTCCGTCACAGGCCCCGCCTACTTCTCTGATGCTGACCCCCCGGGCCCGCCTCCTCCTCCCCACGTCCAGCCTCCTTCGCCGCGGCTGCTGACTCTCATTGACTCGGCAGCGGCTATGGAGAAAAATGCAGCGCTGCACAGATCACGGTGATCTGAACAGCGCCGCGTTCTAACCCATAGCGGCCCGCACGGCATCAGGGGGGTGTCCCGCCTGGGTCGCTATGGCTATTGTTACGCCACTGTCAGCTGCGTATCTGAAGATACTGAATGATGAGGTTTTTCCATCAATGGATTTTTTCTTCCCTGATAGCACGGGCATATTCCAAGATGACAATGTCAGGATTCATTGAGCTGTAAAAGAATGGTTCAGGGAACATGAGACATCATTTTCACACATGGATTAGCCACCACAGAGTCCAAACTTTAACCCCATTGAGAATCCTTGAGATTTGCTGGAGAAGGCTTTACACAGTGGTCCGACTCTCCCATCATCACTACAAGATCTTGGTGAATAATTAATACAACTCTGGTTGGAAATATATGTTGTGACATTGCATAAGTTTATTGAAAGGAAGCCAATGTGTGCCGTAGTCAAAGCTAAAGGCGGTCCAACTAAATATATTAGAGTGTGTGACTTTTTTTGGCCAGGCAGTGTATGAAGAGAGGGAGGCATGCAGCAGTCTGTACTATGGGTGCGGAGTGCTACAATGTGACTTCCTTGTCTCTGCCTAGGTCTGGTTTATCAGTGTCATGAATATTTATTCTTCACATTTGTATACAGTTTAAGTAAAATATACCAGGTAATGCATTGACATCATCATAACGTGACAGGTATTTGAGGTTCTTAAATGAAGTGCCAGGTGGGTTTATGTTTTGTCTTTTCCTGTCTCCTAGGTGTTCCATGATGATGACATCATTCCAGGCTGGGAGGGAAAAATTGTGGCATGGGTTGAAGAAGATCATGGAACCAACTGAATAAATTCCCGTCACTCATGCAAGGAGTAAATGTTCTTGGAAACTGACAAAAGACACATTTGTCATATGGTTGTGGATTATTCCTCATGCTGCCAAAAAAAGGTCCCTATGGGCACCCGATAACCTTACAGTTTTGCTTATACAGAAGAAAGCAGTGATAGCTGCAATCACACATTGCTGGATTTATACAGAGAGAATCTCCCACTTGTTCAGGAGAAGACTGGAGGACAGTGCAGTTTACAGGGTAGCTGACTTCCATTGCTGGAGGATGTTACAAGCTACTTCCTATATATATATTCTTAAGAAGAAAGTTCAGTATTTTTAAATGGGACAGGTTGTTTCATTGATTTTGGGTGTATGTGTATATTTTAATTGTATATTGAAACCACTAGTCTTGAAAGAAACAAAGGGGCATATTTATTAAACAGTCAATTTGACATTCACTAAACATTCACTGCAGACGAATCTTCCTGGTACATGTGTTTAAATGACAGTGATTGATTCACTACCAGTGAATGTTTGATAAGTCACATTCACTGCTTTATAAATTTGCCTCTTACTGTACTGTTTGCAGAAGTCCTATTTTTTTTCACGGATATGTATAGCAAGAAGGTAACTTCAATTTAAAAAGGAAATTGCTATTTTGTAGTGCACAGTAATGTCACTTGCCATTATTTTCCCATAACATCCATACTCCATGTCCTATTGAGGAATATCACAGCTTCATATTCTGACAATGATGGGACACAAATCCTATTTATGTTTCATTGCATGACTTTTGAAAAAGGGGAAAAAGCATCAGTGACGTAACTATAAGGCCTAATACACAGAGGCGTCTGGGGACTCTGCAGCAGGAATCCCAGATGAGTCCGTACAGATGTGGCCGATGTGCCTCTTCAAGTTAAATGACAGCCTGACGGTGGCCGCATCTGTCCATGGCTGTCCGCATGTAAACGTACATGGAAAGATTATCTGTGGATTGGGAGAGATGCTTGTTCATGGATGCAATCTCTCCGTGTCACGGGACAAGCATCTCTCCTGATCCATTCCATGTACGAATACATGCGGACAGCCACAGACAGATGTGGCTGCATCTAAACGGGGACACTTGGGATTCCTGCCGCAAGAACCTGTAGGTTGTTGCCGCAGGAGTCCCCAGACACCTGTGCAGGTAGCCTAAAGATCTTACTGGGTTAGATAAGTACTCATCTCCCTGTTAATACCAGCCTGTTAGTATTGTGTACAAATATAGCCCAAAGTGTAGGTAACTGCAGTAATGTGTACTATGCCTTTACTTATGTTAAGAAAATATGCAAAAACGGACCTATGATTATCTTCAGCTTCACTGAGACATCTAAACGCATTTGGATACAGGAAATCTATCACACCTAGGCATCCTCGGCTGTGCTTTGCATATTATGACCTGTTAAAATCCAAAAGTTCAGATTATCTGCTGCATAGCTCTCTTTAGTACCCAGAGCAGAGAGGAAGGACCACTACTGCAGGGAGGAAGGACTGCTACTCGATTCGGCCTCAGGTGAGGAGCTAAGTATCCTCATGAAAGGAAACGATTAGAAGTTAGTGCTGTATGTGTCCCTACTGAAGAGATTCTCCATGAAATCCCATTAATACCACTGACACAGGAACTGAAAATAATCTGTACAACCGAGACAGCAAAAAAACCTGATCAATATTCTCGCCATTCCCTACTTTCTAAGAAAACTTTTGGTTGGAATTCCATTTTAAAATGCATTTGGTTTGATTGGTAAAATCGTTTTCATGTAATAGTAATGTGCTAATTAGCAAAATATTGCAGACGCTCCAACAACCACCCATCAGGATAGAGCCAATTGTATCTTATCAAGCAGAAATTAAAGTATATATAAAACAAAAATGTTAAAGTGACACTTCAGGAGTTAAATGTGAAAAACACATTCAAGTACCTTAACTATTAACAAAAATGTATCTTATTTGTGTATCACTCGGCTGTAGATCCTCAAATCATCTCTGAATTGGTGCTGACACTGTCCTTCCTTCTGGAGGGGGGCTACTTTTGTTCCCCATTGTCCCTGTGTGTGTTGTAAAGTAGTCACCGCTCCAAGCTCGCTCAAGTAATGGACTACAATCTCACGTTTAGTTTACTCATTTGTATTGAGATTGTAGTCCATCACATGAGTGAGCTTGGAGCGGTGACTACTTTACAACACACACAGGGACAATGGGGAACAAAAGTAGCCACCCTCCAGAAGGAAGGACAGTGTCGGCACCAATTCAGAGATGATTTGAGGATCTACAGCTGAGTGATACACAGATAAGATACATTTTTGTTAATAGTTAAGGTACATAAATGCATTTTTAAGATTGAACTCCTGAATTTGGTGTCACTTTAAGATATTGCAGCTTATTAGACCTTAGCTGCGGTAGTAGTTTACATTTTCCGGGTTAAGAACACTTTCAGCAAGTACAGAAAATACTTGTTGATCATGACAGAAATGTAGTGTCCTTGCCACTTCTAGTGAGATGCAAAAATAATATTATATTTGGTGTATAAACTATGAATCCCATAAGGACACCATGTAATGAACAAAGGCAGAGAAAAACAGTTTGTGCTTCATCCATGGCTGCCTACATACATACCGTGTAGAAATTAGAGTAGCCATGATGGGACACTGGAAATGTGTTATTCACAGGATTACCGGATGAAAATAAATAGAAAAAAGCCTGGAAAAAAAGGAAAGCAGCCACCTCATCTATGGACCACTAAACTGAAATATATTATGTTTACATACACTGAGGGTTGGTACAGCAAGCATTCCATACCATTTGTGAAGTCTACAGATACAGCATAGGACTCCAAGCTGTCTTGCTGCAACATAATGCACATGAATTAGGATTGAAAGAAAGTGGGTTAGCAAAATTGCTGACATTATTCAAAGGGCATTTGAAAGAGATTTGTAATTGTCGGTATGGTCCCGTTATCAGGGCCAGTGAAAGTGACTGTCACCTCCAGTTCTACAGTGTTATATTATTGAGAAAGGCAGCACAGCAGCAGGTGGCTACCACATATGTTGGGTCAGCTTTTGAAAGAAGAGACATTGGACTTAGGAAGACTTTGGTGGAATTCCAAATCATCATCTGTAAAGTTTGAAGGGGTGTCACTGTTATGAGTGAAGATATAAAAGATGTCACCAGCACACCAGGCTGTTGTATTCAACAAATGTTCATTTTAATGACAACCAATGCCATTCAATAGCCTATTGAATGGCATTGGTTGTCATTAAAATGAACATTTGTTGAATACAACAGCTTGGTGTGCTGGTGACATCTTTTATATCTTCAGTATTTCACGGTGCCACCGTGGTCACTGCAAGCACCCATTTGCATAAGTCCGTTAAGGAGAGCAGCAAGATACGTTTAATTTTTACTGTTATGAGTGACACACAAGCTAAACACAAAGTTTTTCTCTTTGCAGAAAATGTATCATCCCAAATGACTTGCACTGATCATACACATGATGACATAATCAGACTTATTTAATAAGGCAGAACAAAGGTTGATGACATGCAGTAACTCATAGCAACTGATGAGGTCTGAGGTTTCGGAAGTCATATGAATGATGATTGTGTTGTCATGGGTTACTGTACTTTGTCATATTAAATAAGACCACATGACTGCTCTCCGCTATAGTGTGTGGCGTTCATTCATTTCTACTTTTATCCTGACTACCTCCTTCTTCATTCCGGCGTGCTGCTAGAATCATTTCTGATATTCACCAAATACCAATAAGTTCATCACCCAAACAGTTCATGAAACTCATCATAGACTGCTGCTATGGAAATCTTCTATACCTCATTCATACAAGGCTCATTCCCAGGGCTCTGATTTGCTAAAGTATTATACTTAATAGTGCAATAAACATTGCAGAATAGAAAATTTTAAAAAACGAGGCCGTCATTATAAACTGTTGTTTTTCCCATTATGAGGTTGGGATGACAGTTTCTACACTTGCCCCGTATGTACCTGTTTGTCTTTGTGAGGAAAGTCTATGGGCAGCAATATTGGTGAGGGCTGGTGCAGACCTGAGCGATCTGGGACATGCATCCCAGGACCGCGCGGTCGCATGCTGTTGCACACATCGGTTGCCGTGTGGCCCCGATGATTTCAATGGGGTTACATCCGTGCTGCAATTGCAGAAAAAAAGGTACATGTACTTTTTTTGCGACACACGAGACGCGGATGTTGTAGCCGCGATCGTGTTCGATTGCGCGGGCGGAATCGCGGCAGGAAACTGCGTGATTTGCTCGGCACGACTGGTATGCCATTAGAAAATAATGGCACCGCCAACGCGATCGGTCGGGGTGGCCGACTCAGTGACCATGTGGCCTTCCGCACTTTCGTGCACGATTGCCGCATGGTCACAGATCGCCATAGTGTGAACCTGGCCTAAAATGGATCAGGCTTATAGGTGTAATTATAAAGCAGTGAATGTGACTTTTTACCTAATATTCTCTGGTGGAGAAACAATCACTGTCATTTAAAATACATGGACCTGGAAGATTCTCCATCAGAGAATGTTTGGGGAAAGCCATATTCACTGCTTTAATAATAGATCCCTCAGTGGAAAGCAGCAAGGATTTGTGGCATCAAGATTTTGGCACAGTTTTCATGAACTGTTAGCTGGCATCTTAAAGGTTATAAAAGCGTAGTTCTTGCAGAGTCGTGTGGGAAAGCTTACATTTACAGGAGTGTGTGTTGGAGTGGCTTTCTTGTATTGAAAGGCCAGATCATAAGATAGGACTCTTACACAACTGAACTTATGTGTATAATCCACTGGTGAATGTGATGTTAAATTTGACTTAAAGTGACATTAAACCCTCAGATTTTTAACATAAACCAATACTGTAATGTGCGCCTTACTGTAATCCATGGTTGTTTCCCTTCTCTTTGTTGCTCTTCCTTTTAAATCTGTATCTCTTCTCATGCTGGGCAGAACTTCTGTTTTGCATCAGACTGCCTTGTCTATGGAATGGCTACATGGTGTCTGTGTGTAGGTTCACAACCTGAGCAGCACTACAGGAAGAGGCACTCAGCTGCAAAGCGAAGTTCTGCCCAGCATGAGAAGAGATACGGATTTAAAAGGAAGAGCAGCAAAGAGAAGGGAAACGACCATGGATTACAGTAAGGCGCACATTACAGTATTGTTTTATGTTAAAAAATCTGAGGGTTTAATGTCACTTTAATATTGGCTTAATTATCAAGATGGGTCAAGGAAATCTTGATGTGCTCTGTCATCCAGCTCACATTTTATTAAAGGACGGAGATTTCAGCCATAACTACACTCCTTAACCTTTCCAATAATCAACGCATTGGGCTGAATATTAGTTGATAACACGGT